GGGCGGGCATGCTCACCTATGTACTGTTGGTGGTGCTGGCTCTGGGCGGCCATGGCCTGCTCAGGAGTGCTGTGCAGGCTGCTGTTGGAGCCACTGTCCCCGAGGCTGTCTGTCTTCTGGGCTGGCCGGTACCTGGGCAGATGTCACTGTGAGTTCCAGCAGCATGGTCCGCGATGGGTTCAGGGCCCAGGGGACTAAGCTGGATACTCCCTGAGATTTGCTTTGTTGTGTTGTGCTGTGTGTGTATGTGCATGCATGTGCACATGTGTTTAACTGTGTGTGTATATGCGGTGTTGTGTGTGTTGTGCTGTGTGTGCATGTGTGCTGTGCTATTTGCATGTGTGTGTGCACACTGTGCTGTGCATGCATGCATGTTATGTTGCATGCACTACATTGTGTGCATGTGCACATGCATGTTATGTTGCACTGGCATGCTGTGCACACACGTGTTTGCATGCATGCAGTGCATGTGTGCATGCGGTGCTGTCTGCACATGTGTGCACAAGTTGTGCCACATATGCAGGTGTATGTGTGCATGAGTGTGCATGTGTGTGCATGAGCGTCATACTATTTGCATGCATGCATGTATGCATGTATGCCTGTGTGTGTGTTTGTGCTGTGCTGTGTGTGCATGTACTGTGTGTGCTGTGCTGTGTGTGGTACCAGTATACACAGGCAGTCGCTGACTTTCTCCGACTCTTTCGTAAGTTGGTACTGATGTAAGCCAACTGCTCCATTTTTTAAACTTCTCATCATTATTGTCTTTTCTTCTCACTATCTGTGTAAATCCCAACTATATTTGTCTTTGGGGGTTGGCACGAGAATGTAACATTAGTAAACTATGTGCAGTGATACTGTATGTCATCCATACTACTGACGATGACATGACAGGCCCTCCATACATTAGTGGGAAAAAAGTTCATGGAAAAAATGGACTGAAACGATGATGGGATTTTTTCACGTTTTTTTTGTAGCCCCCTTGTATGTGCCCCCCCCACACACACACAAAACGAGAGTTGGGTGTGTGGTTTTGTTGTAACTCAAATCTGCCACAAGTTGGGAGAGGCTGTACGACAGACACTTAGCCCTTAATCATTTTGAAGGGTGGGTTCCCCATGTTGTGTGACCACCACCTCTATCCACATCTAAATGTTTCTCCTCACCCCAAACAGAAACTCTGCATCCAGTAACCAACAGCTCCCCATTGCCCCATCCCCTGGGAAGCACTAGCTATGCGGGGGCTTCCAAAAGTTCCAGACAAAATTCCATTATCTTTTAATTCCACTGTTCCCATGAACTTTTTGAAGTCTCCTTTTATACACACACCCATACACACACACAACACACACATGTGTACACATACCATGTAATACCTGCACATATACGACACACACCGCATACATGTATGGACACACACGTACATACATGTACACACGTATTGGAGTCTTGATGTGGTGCTATGGGTTAATGCACTGGGCTGCAAAGTTGGTTTGAACCACATGGTCAGCAGTTCAAGCTCACCAGGTGCTCCTTGGAAACCCTATACAGGGTCACTATGGGTCAGAATCGACGTGACAGCACCACAAGTCAGTTCCGACCCATAGTGACCCTGTCTAGGATTTCCAAGGAGCACCTGGTGAGCTTGAACCACTGACCTTGCAGTTCAAATAACTTTGCAGTCTGACACATTAGCCCAAAGCACCACAATATATGTATGTGTAAATACGGATTTACACATAGATATATTATATATCACCACTTGTCTGTCAGTTTGTTGCACTGTGGTGGTTTGTGTGTTGTTGTGATTCTGGAAGCTACAGGATCACCCATTGTGGACAAGTTTCAGCTGAGCTTCCAGACAAAGACAGACTAGGAAGAAGGGAGACAGACTGCTTCCAAGTATTGAGTCACTGAAAACCTTATGAATAGCAGTGGAGCACCGTCAGCACCAGAACATTGAATACTGAAACATGATGAAGAGCACCAGGGTATTATCAGATATAAAGCTGGAAGATGAGCCCCTCAGGTGGGAAGGCACTCAAAATACGACTGGGGAAGAGCTGCCTCCTCAAAGCAGAGTTGACCTTGATGACGTGACTGGAGTAAAGCCCTCGGGACCTTCATTTGCTGATGGGGCACAACTCAAAATGAAGAGAAACACAACTCAAAATGGATTTTGTAAAAATCCATTAAGAATCAAAACATGGACTGTACAAAGCATGAATCTAGGAAAATCAGAAATTGTCAAAAATGAAATGGAACACATAATCATCGATATCTTAGGCATTAGTGAGCTGAAATGGACTGGTATTGGCCATTTTGAATCTGATGACCACATGGTATACTATGCTGGAAATAACAAATTGAAGAGGAATGGTGTTGCATTCATCGTCAAAAAGAACATATCCAGATCAGTCAGTAGGTACATACAACGCTGTTTGTGATAGGATAAATCCATCTACCTACAAGGAAGTCCAGTTAATATCACTATTATTCAAATTTATGCACCAATCACTAAAGCCAGTGATGATGAAATGGAAGAATTCTACCAATGTCTTTGCTTGCTGAACGTGAAGAGGACTTAAAATACTTACTGATGAAGATCAAAGACCACAGCCTTTAATATGGATTGCATCTCAATGTAAAACAAAAATCCTCACCACTGGACCAATAAACAACATTCTTATCAATGGAGAAAAGATTGAAGTTGTCAAGGCCTTCATTCTTGGATCAACCATCAACACTCACGGAAGCAGCAGTCAAGAAATCAAATGATGTATTGCATTAGGCAAATCTGCTGCACAAGACCTTTTTAAAGTGTTGAAGAGCAAAGATGTCAGCTTGAGGACTAAGGTGCGCCTGACCCCTGACCCAAGCCATGGTATTTTCAATAACCTCATATGCATGCGAAAGCTGGACAGTGAATAAGGAAGACTGTAGAAGAATTGATGCATTTGAGTTATGGTGTTGGAGGAGGATGTTGAATATACCAAAAGAACCAACACATCTGTGTTGGAAAAATTACAGCCAAGATACTCCCTGGAAGCCAGAATGACCAGACTTGATCTTTCATACTTTGGCCATATTATCATGTAGGACCAGTTGCTGGAGAAGGATATTATGTTTGGTAAGGTGGAGGATCAGAGAAAAAGAGGGAGACCCCCAGCGAGATGGATTGGCAAGGTGTCAGAATCAATGGGCTCAAATGTGGCAACAATTGTGAGGTTGGTCCAGGACCGTGCAATGTTTCATTCTGTTGTGCATAGGTTCGCTATGTTGTTGTTGTTGTTATGTGCTGTGGAGTCGGTTCCGACTCATAGCAACCCTGTACAGGATTTCCGAGGCTGTAAATCTTTACAGGAGCAGAAAGCCTCATCTTTCTCCCGTGGAACAGCTGGTAGTTTTGAACTGCTGACCGTGAGATTAGCAGCTCAATTCGTAACCACTACACTACCAGAGCTCATAGGGTCACTATGAGTCGGTACCAATTCGATGACACTTAACAACAACAACAACCAATGCCTTCAATCTGAAATTGATCAAACATGCCATCAAGATGAATTGATCATTACTGGTGATTGGAGTGCAAAGGTTGGAAACAAAGAGGAAGGAACAGTAGTTGGAAAATATGGCCTTGGTGATAGAAATGATGCTGGAGAATGCATGATAGCATTTTGCAAGACCAATGACTTCTTCATTGCAAAATACACATGGACCTCACCAGATGGAATACACAGAAATCGAATTGACTACATCTGTGGAAAGAGATGGTGGAAAAGCTCCATATATCAGTCAAAACAAGTCCAGGGGCAGACTGTGGAACAAACCATCAATTGCTCATCCACAAATTCAGGCAGAAGTGGAAGAGAATTAAAGCAAGTCCACAAGAGCCAAAATATGACCCTGAATATATCCCACCTGAATTCAGAGATCATCTGGAGGACAGATTTGATGCATTAGACACTAAAGACCGAAGACCAGAAGAGTTGTGGGATGACATCAAGAACATCATACAGGAGGAAAGCAAAAGGTCATTGAGAAGATAAGAAAGAAAGAAAAGACCAAAATGGATGTCAGATGAGACTCTGAACCTTGCTCTCCAGCCTAGAGACGCTAAAGCAAATGGAAGAAGTGAGCAGGTATGAGAGCTAAATAGAAAATGTCAGAGGTCAGCTGGAGAAGATAAAGTCAAAGATTATAACAAAATGTGCAAAGACCTGGAGTTAGAAAACCAAAAGGGAAGAACATGCTCAGAAGTTATCAAGCTGAGGGAATTGAAGAAAAAACTCAAACTTTGACTTGCTGTATTGAAGGAATCTCTGGGCGAATTGTTGAATGGTGAAGAAAGCATCAAAAGTAGATGGAAGGAATCCACAGGGTCACCGTACCAAAAGGAAATGGTCAATGTTCAACCATTTCAAGAGGAAGCATATGATCAAGAGCCAATGATACTGAAGGAAGCAGTCCAGGGTGCATTGAAGGAATTGGCAAAGAACAAGGCACCAGGAATTGATGGAATAAAAATTGAAATCTTTCAACAAAGTGAGGTGGCACAGGAGGCACTCACTCATCTATGTCAAGAAATTTGGAGACAACTACCTGGCCAATGGACTGGAAGAGATTTGTATTTGTGCCCATTCCAAAGAGAGGTGACCAAACAACATATTATATACATATGTGGAGTCCTGATATGGTGCTGTTGGATAAGCACTGAACTGTTAACTACAGATCAGTGGTTCAAACCCACCAGCTGCTGTTTGGAAATCCTATATAAGGTGGCTAAGAGTCAGTATTGACTCGACAGCACTTAACAACAACACATACACACATATGTACACATACATATATTATATACACATATGTCTATATGGAGTCCTGGGTGGGTTTCTGTGGGGTTAACACACTGGACTGCAGAGTCGGTTTGAACTTTAAGGTAAGCAGTTCAAGTTCACCAGCTACTCCTTGGAAACCCTATACCAACTTGGTTGGAACCGACTTGACGGCACTTAACAACAACAACAACACACACATACATTGGTGCCCTGGTGTGGTTGGCACTGTAGGATAACCACTGCAAGGTTGGCAGTTCAAACCTCCCAGCTGCTCCTCACAAACCCTAAACCCAGTCACTGTGGGTCAGAACTGACAGCATTTAACAAAAGCAGTACACACATACATACGTATGCACAATATACGTCATATACACAACATGTAGTACACATGTCCACACACACACACAACAGGTACGACATGCAAACATGTCATGATGGCACGTGCACACACAAACATATACACACATAGCAGACTACACACATGCACACCATACACACAGGCACACACACACATGCACAACAAACAAGCATACACTCACACACGTGCACAACAAACAAGCATACACTCTACACACATGTGCACAACAAACAAGCATACACTCACACACGTGCACACATAGGTCACATGTACGCTCACATGTTGTTGTCGTTGTCGTTAAGTGTTGTTGAGTTGGTTCTGACTCCTAGCAACCCTGTATAGGGTTTCCAAGGAGCAGCTGGTGGATTTGAACCACCATCCTTGCAGTTCAAACCAACTTGTGATCTAGTGGTTATCTTACGGCGCCACACCAGGACTCAGACATATATTATACACATATGTATACACATAAGGAGCTCTGGTAGTGTAGTGAATTACAAGCTGAGCTGCAAACTGAAAGGTCAGCAGTTCGAATCTACCAGCCACTTCACAGGAGACAGATGAGGCTTTCTGCTTTCATAGAGATTTACAGCCTGGGAAACCCTCTACAGCGTTGCTATGAGTCAGAACCTACACTCCGTGGCACACTACCACCACCATGTACACACACATTATGCACATATGCTGTACATAGACACGCATATCATATAAAGTATGCATACACATTATATAAACATGCACACACATAATATCATACACACACGATACAACACAGGTATGATACAATGACAGCACACACACATACACACATGTACATGCAGTATACACACAATTCCATACATGCACACATTCATTTTACAAATACACACTCTCTCTCATGGGTCTGTCTCCCTAGAGAGCCCTGGCAGGGACATCACACCCACTCTCTCTTGCTCTCTTCCAGTCCTGCTACCCGGGCGTGGGTGTCTTGCCCCCGGACCATGGATACAGGGGGGTGGTCCCGCTCACCCACCTGGGCTTCTGGTGCAGGGGTTGCTGTCGCATGGCCATGTACTGCGTGTCGTCCTGCAGCCGGTTCAGCGGGGAGTCAGGCTTCAGGCGGATCCCGTAGTAATGGTACTTGGAGTTGCCCCTAGAAATCAATGCCCAAGGGTCATCTCTCTGTGGGAGTCCTGGGACTCTAGGGGGCGCACTCAGCCTGCATTTGGAGCTCTCAGTGAAAGGTTCCTCAGCTTATCAAACTGAGGAAGTTCGGTACCCAGCATGCCCCTCTCTGAGGGACCCCTCTTGCATTTTAGCAAACTGTCCCCCACCCCCAAACAGTTCATTCCAACTCATGGGGAGCCTGTGTAGTACAGAGGAGAGCTGTGCTCCATAAGGTTTTCATCTTTACAGAAACAGATCACCTGGACTTTCTTCTCCGGCAACCTCCACCCTGACTCCTGCTGGCCTTATGTGTGCAGAGGAGAACTGTGTTCCACAGGGTTTTCAGTGTAGTGGTTACGAATCGGGCTGTGAACCTTAAGGTCAGCAGCGGTTTGAAACTACCAGCCACTCCGCGGGAGAAAGATGAGGCTTTCTACTCCCGTAAAGATTTACACCCTCGGAAACTCTGTACTATGGGTCGGAACCGACTCGACGGCACTTAACAACAACAACAACCTTTTGGCAGTAGATTGCCAGACCTTTCTTCTGAGGTGGATTTGAGCCTCTGCCAACCTTGCAGCTAGCCATCAAGCTCAAATTGTTTGCACCCAGGGGCACAGTTGACTAGGGGTATCAACAGGTGCATCCAGGGTTGGGTGTGGGCCAGCAGGAAGGGGCCCCACATTCCCCCCAAAGCTCAGTTTCTGCTTAAAGGAAGAGGGGAGTCGGAGGGCATCACCCCATGGCTGCATCCACCACACACCTGGTTCCCAGGCGACGGGTTCTCAGGCCCATGAACACGGAGCGGATCAGTTTCCCAAAGGAGGCGGCGTTCACAGGGTCTAGCTTGTGTTCCTGGCAGTGGCGAAGGTAGTGGTTGTACAGTGAGCTTCGGGGGAGGCTCACACCTTCCGCGGTTTCATAATTGTCTAGCAACCACTGGAGCTGGAAGGGGAGAGACATGTGCATCTGTCAAAACCTGGTGGAAGGTGGAAACGGGCACCACGGGCCCCTGAAAAGAGCCAAGGTTTTCCCCACGGTTCACAATGGGACTCTCCTGGATTTGTGGTCCAAATCTGCATGAGCCTATTAGATGCTGTCTCTGTAGTCATTAACAGCCACCCCACCCCCCAACACAAACAGTATGTGCCGTTTAAATACCACACACAATACTAAGTATCTCCGAATCGCTACTCTTGTTAGCTGCAGAGAACTGCGTCCCATAGGCTTGTCAAGCCTGTGACCTTTGGAAGGAGATCGCCAGGCACTGTTGGATGGGTTTGAACTGCCAACCTTTCAGCAAGTAGTTGAATGATGAATCTTTGCACCATGCAGGATCCTATCCAAACTTATTGCCCACTGCCCCTGAGTTGGTTCTGACTCATAGCGCCCCCATATGGGGTTTCCGGGAGTTCTGGCACGGAGCAGGATAAGCACTGGATTGCTCACCACAAGGTTAGTGGTTCAAACCCACCAGGCACTCCTTGGAAACCCTATACAGGGTCGCGATGAGTTGGAACTGGGTTTCTGAGACTGTAAATCTTTACAGGAGCACACAGCCTCATCTTTCTCCCTCGGAATAGCTGGTGGGATTGAACTAACGACCTTGTGGTTAACAGCCCAATGCATATCCCAGTGCGCCTCCTAGAGGAATAGAAATATTTCAGCCCAGACAAAGAGAATTCAAGAAAACTATAGGGAGCCCTGGTGTGGTACTGTAGGATACGCACTGGATTCCTAACTGCAAAGTTGGCAGTTCAAACCCACTAGCTGCTTCTTAGAAACTGTATACAGGGTCGCTATGACCTATGAGCTGGAACCAAAGGGAAACATCAGCGCAGTTCTCTGCATTCAAAACAAAACAAAACAATAAACAGCTGCCGGTTGAATCGACCATGACTCATGATGACCCATGTGTATCACAGGAGGGATGTGCTGCTGCATAGATTTTTTTTTTTTTTAATGGCTAATTTTTCTGACATAGATCTCCAGGTCTTTCTTCTGAGGTGCCTGTGGGCACTACTGTTTGTACCATGAACCAAATCCTTAGTCTTGAAGTTAGCACATAGTCCGGTACACATCTCTCCTCCCCACCCCCCAACCAGCTAATTTGACCACATTTGAACCCATGCCCCCTTCCTTTCCTTCGCCAGGGAGGCTAAGGGGTTTGTGTAGCTGGGAATTCTGGGAGGAGAATGTGGGTTAGTGAGGCCATATTGGAGTAGGGTGGGCCCTACACTTTATTGTTTCTGAGTGGTGTGTTATAAAAGGGCAAGTAGACACAGAGTGACACACCCAGGGGAAGGGGCCAAATGAAGAGCCAGGCACAAGCCAAGGGACACCCATGGAGGGACCCTCCCCTGCAGCCCATTTCCATGTCTTCCCCAGAAATGATGAGACAGTCATGTGGGATTTCTTTTTCGGCAGTGCTAGGGAACTAAGACAGAGCCTGAGTTCTGATTTCTGGGTGGTGGGCTATTAGGACCACTAGACTAGGAGTTTTGGGGATGGGTTCTAAGACCTACCTGTTCCACCACCCACTCACCAGGGGCCTTAGGTACTCACTAAGCTGGTGCACAAGAGAAAATAACTGCTTGGGAATTATAATCTCTTATGCATCACTCCCCTGTACTATTTACACTAAAAGTTGAATTCTTTTGGGGAACTATTGACAATAAAAGTTCCTTGGCAAGTTCTTTCTGGGAAATAGGAAGTGACCACATAGAAAGTGGGCACCACCACACCACTACCAACTGCCCTCGCATTGACTCGTGTGTGTCTCACAGGGTTTTCAGTGGCCGGTTTTTTGGAAGTAGATTGCCAGCCCTTTCTTCCGAGGTGCCTCTGGGTGGTACACGCCTCCAGTGTTTCAGTAGGCAGCTGAGCATGTCCACCATTTGCTCCACTCAGGGCCTCCAAGCCAGCTGTTGACTCCAGTCACCTCTGTATGGGTCAGAGCACAACTATGCTGAGGGGGTTTGTACTGGCTGAGTTTTTGGAAGCAGATTGCCAGCTGTGGTCTTAGCGTCCAGACATGTGCCTGATTCTCAGGGGAGAAGTACCTGAGATGGACTTCTGACCACATCCTTGAAGGCCCTACTTAGCCACTTAGCAGCGCTCTGCTCCAGTATCTGCTTTGTGGCCAGATAATCAGCCTTTAAATGCCCAACTTTCTACCCACTCACCTCCCTTTTACATTTACAGAGATGTGACACTACAGGATAAGCACTAGACTGCTAACCAAAAGGTCAGCGGTTCAAACCCACCAGCTGCTCCTCAGGAACCGGATACCAGGTCACTATGAGTCAGGCCGACCTGATGGCACTTAACAACTTGCTGAGGACCGTGGTCTAGGTGGTGGGGACACACCAGTAAGGAAGACACGCCAGATGCCCTAGCTCTCGTGGGGAAGAGCCCCACCATGAATAGGAAATGCACCTAAAGAGATGATGCTGAGTGCGCAGAGAAAAATCACCCCGGGAAAGGGGCTCGACTCCAGCATAGAGGGACTGAAGGAAAAACTATGATCTTAAATCTGGGGTGGTGTTGAGGAAGATTCGCTGATAAAGTGCTGTGTGGGAACGCTTTTAAGGAGGTGAGGGAAGGTGGAGGGGGTGTTTGGGGGGAGAGCAATCTAGGCAGAGAGAAGGAGGGGAGAGCTGGAGAGAGCAGGGCAGCGCATGCAGGACTCTGGGCAGGCAGACAGACAGGCCTGGCTCAGGTCTCATGGGCGCCCTCTGGTGTCCATGGATGGGGAAGACAGAGGCGGGGTGTGAGGGCGGAGTCAGGGACCAGGGCCGAGAGACCTTACAGGTCGAGGTAGAGGTAGAGAGGGTAAAGTGGGCTCTGCAAAAGTCCAGGCAGTGGGCATAGCCTGTGTAAAGGTCCTGAGGCAGGAAGGGGCTTGATGCGTATGATGGACAGCGAGGAGGCCTGTGTGGCTGGAGCGGAGTGTGTGAGGGGGACAGAGTAGGAGAGGAAGGCAGGGAGGGGACCGGGCAGGGCTGTGTTTATGGCTCTGGTTTCTACTTGAAGGAGTGGATGTCTTGGAAGAGTCTGAGCGGAGGACGTGACCTGACTTGGCACAGGACGCCCTCTAGTGGGTGCCTTGAGAAGACGCCGATCACTAAGAGGTCAAGTAGGGGGAGAGGACGATGATAATCCACCATAGCCGGAGGTGCTGGACTATGGATGTACTGATTCTGAACAAGTCTTCAAGGTAAAATCGGGGAGCATGTGTGGACGGGCTGGAAGGGCGGTAGGAGGAAGAGGATGGGTTCAAGGTTTGAGCACCAGGAAGGATGGAGCTTCTGGGACCACCGTACCTTAGGAGGTTACTTGGGGAGGGCTGGTGCCTGGATGAGTATCCTGGGTAAGGGGAGAGGAGATGCCGGCACCCTGTCAATAGGCTTCCCAGCAGGAGGCGGGGCAGGGAGCCATAGGAAAGAAACCACCATAGTCTGGGGCAACGTCTGTCTATGGCTGGGCAGTTTGTACTTCTTGACTACAAAGCAAAGGCAAGTGCTCTGCGATGAACCCATCTCAGAATGGCTGTGAGGCCCAGGGGTTGGACGGGATGATGGTTTATTGTAGCACACACTGTCTCTCCCCAAGGAGGGGCTTGAGAACCTGGTGGAGGGGGAGTCCTGGGAAAGGATCTTGGGGCCAGGGAGGACCCTGTCTATGGTGTGGCAGCCTTGGGGGAGACTGGTGAGCAGCACCCCCATACTTGGTGGCCTCTGTGCTGTGGTGGGGGCTCCATGAGAGACAATGGTGACTCCCAGATGGATGGAGGTCTGTTTCCCTCTCCCACACAAGCTATTCCCCCACTTCCTCTAGAAAGTGGATTCTAGTTTGCAGTCTCCCAAATCGCATCTCATAAACGCCCCAGGCCCTCTCCTTCCACCTTCCACCAGGATAGGCAAGTAAGTTTTCTCAACAGACAGACCCCAAGCACTGCAGACCCTGGGCCCAGCTCTGGAGGAGCAGAAATCAGAAGTCCTTGGATGACATCAATGTTTGTCCCCTGGGTCCTGCCAGCTCTGGAGCCCCTCCAGAAAGGAAACCACCACCCACTGCTGAGCACCCTTCCCACCCCCCCACCCCTGCTGCCCCCATATTGTGGGCTGCTGTGAATGCTAAGGTTAAGCCTGAGTGCTTTTGCCCTCAATTCTCAGCTGTGTTCCTTCACACCTGTGTTGGTGCTGACTACACAGAGCCCACGCCTGGCACGCAGTCCCCTGGAGGAGCTGGTCTGTGGCTATGTGGTACCCCGATAAGGGAGATCTAGGAGACACGGGAAAGGGCCAGAGCATGCAGCCCCGGAACACTGCTCCCCCTGCCCCCCAGCTCCTGTGCCGCAGCAGGGAAAGTTCTGGACATGCCCTTGTCCTTTACTCTCTTGGAGACCAGGCCCCGGGGTGGCCTGTGAAGGAGCTGGGATATGGCGACAGTTGATGACACTTCTCACAGGTGAGTGAGACTGGCCTGAGGAGCCACTACAGATATTGGATGGACACTCTGTTCTGTCTGTCAGCCAAATCGGTTTGGTCCCTTCTACCCTACCGGCTCCCAAGTTTGCCAAGACCAGACCAACGCCAATTTCATTGCAGTGTGCGTGGCTGACAGGGAAAGATGCATCTCCCCTGACTCCTGGTGACCCTCTATGTGTCAGATTAGAACTGTGCCCCAGAGGGTTTTCAGTGGCTGAGATTTCAGGAAGATCACCAGGCATTTCTTCCTTGGCCCCACTGGGGAGGTTCAAACTGTCAACCTCTATGTTAGCAGCTGAGTGCACACAGTGCCCCTAGGGCCCTTTCTAAATCATCAGCCACTAAACCCACTTCTGCAGTTCCTTATGGCCGAAGACAAAGCAACTACAATCCTGGCAGGGAACTGAGGGAACTGGCAGAACGGTGGCATGGAAAACAGCAGAAGCAGCCAGAGAGCGCCCGTCCTCTGCTGAACAGCGTCCAGTTGTCCGAGAGGCTTACACATTCCCATAGGCACTTTCCCACACCCTTGTGGTCTGCACCCCTCTTTCTGCCTGCCTTCCTCAGGGGGTCTCCCCCCAGAGCCCAAACCAAGCCCAAGCCATCAAATCAATTTCAACTCCTAGCTTACTTTAAGGGACAAAGTGGAAATGCCCCACAGGGTTTCCAAGGCTGGAAACCTTTACAGAAGCCCACTGCCGCATCTTTCTCCAGCTGACCTTTTGGTTGGTAGTGGAGCACTTTAACCGTTGTGCCACCAGGGTTCCTTGGGGTAGCCCCAGTGCTGACTTAATCTGGGGGACTCTGCAGGCTGTCCTTGTGGCCCTGATCCCCACAGAGAGTACTCTGAGTTTAAGATGGGGGTGGGGGGAAGGTCTCTCCACGGGCACCCCGGAGATGACATCAGGATATCACCCCAGCATCGGTGTGTGACAGGGCGGCTATGTCCCCTGGAGTCTGGGTGGGTCAGAACTGAGCAGGGTTTTCTGAGTCTGTGGGTTTGCTGTGGCAGGCAAGCAGGGTGACATCAGACACCAGACCCGAAAAGCGCTTCCTGTCCCACACCCGCGGCTTCCTCCAGGTAACTTCTGCGCTGGACTCACTTTGAAATTGGGCCCAGCTCAAGTGCTGATCCCATCTAGGTCAGACATCTGCTAGCCTAAACCCACCTCCTAGAGCGCTGGGGTGGTACTGTAGGATAGTCATTGAACTGCTACGTGCACAATTGGCAGGTCACACCCATCAGCCCACTCTTGGAAACTTTGATATGAGTTGGAACCAACGTGACAGCATACAACAGCAAGAACCCCCCCGCCCCCCCCAAAAAAAACAAAAAACAAAAAACGAACCCACTGTTTGGAGTTGATTCCCATTCAGCTACCCTACGGGACAGGACAACTGCTCTCAAGGGGTTCTGAGGCTTTCAGCCATTACAGGAGCAAGCAGGCAGCCTTCTTTCTCCTGCGGAGTGGCTGGTGGGTTAGAACCTCTGATCTTTCAGTGCGCATCCGAGCACATAGCCCACTGCACCACCAGAGCCCCCTGTGCCTGACTAAAGGGGTTTTCTTTTTCACTGACGTTTTTGATCTCAGGAGAATGTCAAATCCCAGTATAAACTCTTCTGACTTCAGAGACCTTCCCGGTTTCAAGATGCCAAACCAACTGTCAAATCTGACTTTTCAGCTTTTGGGAGAGAGGTGAGGTGAGAGGATGGAGTGGAGGGAGACACAGCTTTCCTTTCTCGGTTGTCCCCAGAAATAAAAACTGGTCACCTATCACCTCCGGTGCCATCCTGCCCAGAGACAAGAAGCTTCTACAACATGACTATCTCAGGCCAGATGGTCTTGGATTCTCCCATGAGGCAAGTGAAGGAGAAAAACCATACCCAGCTCAAATGCGTGGGATGAGTCACTCTAGGGTTCTCTCAAATTACCATTCACTGGCGAGAGCTGGCCACAGAGAAACTAGGTGTCCTGAGTTTGTGAAATGTCTATGAAGGGTATGAGCAGAGCAGAGCCGACCGTAAAACCCGGCACACACTTACATGGCTGTTGAGTAAACCGCTTTTGTGAGATGTAATCCCTTCACTTTTTTGGAGGTTTTCAATCGCCATTTCAAGCTACAGAAAATGTGTGCAGAGAAACAAAAACAAAACAAAATGAAAGAAAGAAAGAAAGGAAAAAAAAAAGGAAATCAGGTGGTTAGCATCAGCCAAGATTTGTTTTTATTAATACCCAAATCACGATTAAAGCACCTACAAGATACGCATGAGACTGGACACAGGTGGGGTGCGGGGCGGGGGGACACGAGGAACAGGACCCTGAGAGAAAGCTGCCACAGGACCACCACTTCACCTCGCGCCCCCTCGCCCACTACAGGAGGGTAGCGGAGCGTGGCTGCCTTGTGAGAACATGCCATTTCACCTTGGCAGCATGCATGTCTATGTGCAGGCGTGGCAGGGCAATACTGAGCCATTTCAGAAACCCAAACGTAAGCAGAGTCTCCCAAGGACTCCCCCGGCAATCTCCCATCATGGGCTGAAATGTATCCCTTAAGGAGATACAACCTGGTTTGGAAGCAGGTGTGACCTCAGTTAAGTCAAGTGGGTCCAAGTCCTAACTTGCTGAGTGGAGACTTCAAAACGGGAGAAGAAACACGGAGATAGAGAGACACGCACGGGGAAGACAACATGAGAGCGTGAGTCCACAAGCCGAGGCACACCAAGGAACGCCTGGGGCTACAGAAGCTGAGAGGCAAGGAAGGGTCTTGGTTCCCACTTCTAGACTTCGGACAACACAGTTCTCTTCTTTCAAGCCACCTGCTCTGTGGCACGCCCACTCCTCACTTATTGACTAGCTCGTTATCTGACCTTACGCATTCATGACAATAGTTTGAAAACCTGCCATCTGACTATTGTGTGCATGGACGACTTAACATCTGGCAGATACGAAGGTTGAGGTTACAGTAAGTCTGGCTGTGACGCTTAAGGCTGTATGCCAACTTGGCAGGGCCTGAGTCTTGGTGGGTTGGCAGTTAAGCCGTGATGTTTTGGGATCTGATGTGGTCATCCTCCATTTTCACACAGGGCTGATGTTCACCAGTGACCTGGACTTTGGGCTCTAACCATGTTGGTAAGTGAAGAGTGGGTGTATTCTCTTACAGCTCCCCTAAGAAACCAGGGTGCACCCCAGAGCTGCTTATCTGTTGCTAGGGAGAATCAGCTGGCTGACACCAAGTACAGTCCAAACCCAAACCTGTCACTGAGTCAATTCCAATGCATGGCAGCCCCACGTCTGTCAAAGTGGAATTGGCCCCATACAGTTCTTGGAAGTAGATGGCGGCACCCGTGGGAATTCAAACTGTCAATCTGGCAGTTCGTGGCTGAGTGTCAGCCATTTGCTCCACCAGGCGTCCATCCAAGGACAGCCGGGAGGCACTGACTTCCCAGCTGGCCCGTCCTGCTAGCAAAGCCCCAGCCTGTGGGTTTTGACTTTGCCAGTCCCACCAAAGCTAGTTTCTTCAAACAAAGCTCTGTCGATACGACACCACGTCGCATTTGACCTGGACTTGTCCAGTACGAGGGAAGCTGCCAGTCAGAGCAATGCCACCATGACAGGTAAAGGACATCCAGTACACGCCCCCTCTTCTGGAAACACGGAAGGAAGACAGTGACTTCAAGGAGGCTTCTGTGAAAAGTGGGGCTCGGTTCCCTGGAGCTGAGGCCAAGCAGGAGAGGGTTTCTGTTGCTCCCGTCACTCACGGGGGTGGTAAGAGCCACCTTAAGAAAGATCTACTGGAAGGCCGGTACTGGGGAGTGAACCGTGTGTCCCCTCAAACTATGTGCTGGAGTCCTACCCCACGTGCCTGTGTGTGTGTGAGGTAACGCGGTGCCACATAATATAACGTAACTTAATGCAATCACCTCCCATAATGCAATGCCATGTAATACAACACAGTCACTTTGCATAATTCAATGCCCTGTAACATAACTCAATCAGTTTCCATAAGGCAACCTGGTGTGATGCAATCAACCCATTGAAACCACACCAGCGTTATCATTGTTGTTAGCTGTCATTGAGTTGATTTGACTCCCGGCCACCCCATGTGTTGCAGGCTCAAACTGTGCTCCGTAAGGTTTTCAAGGCTGTGAATTTTGGAAGCAGATCTCCAGGTCTGTTTTCCAAAGCACCTGTGGATGCGTTCAAACCGTCAACATTTAGGTTAGCAGTTGAGCGCTTAATCATTTGCATCACGCAATGTAGTATAGATCCTACGCCTAATCACCTCTGAGTTTTACACAATAAGCTATGTGACACGGAGACACACGGGAGAAGGCAGATATCTGAGACGAGGGGCAGGCACATTTACAAGTTCAGAAATACCAAGGGTGCTGCCGCGGCTGCTAAAGTTGCAAGAGACAAGCAAGGACCCCAGCTAAAGCACGCTCCAACTTTGGACTTCCAGCCTCTAGAACTGACAGAAAATACATTTCTGTGGCATCTACAGAAAAATCACTGAGCTGATAACCACAAGGCCAGCAGTTCGAGCCCACCGCTTGTCCACTGGGGAAAGATGAAGCTGTCTGCCCCTGTAAATCGGAAATCCTATGAGTCGGAATCCACTCAAAAAAACAATAGGTCTCTCAAGCCTGCTGGGGCCAGCCTGAGACCCACTGAAGGGAAATCCTAATGAGTTCCACTGTCCCTTCAAGTGGGGGGAGGGGAAATGCCAACAGGTGCTGGGGAGGGCCAGGGCTCAGGGGGCTTCCCTACATGTCAGCCCAGGGGTGGGTGTGGGGGCAGGCACCACGTCTACAGTAAAGAGAAGAAATGCAGGAACCCCTCCCCCAGCCTCCATGGGCATTTGATCCAAAGCTTGGCCATGGTTCTGGCAAACACCCACAGAAATTATCCTGCAGCCCTACCACGAAGCAGGGAGTAGCCACCCCACTACAGAGCAGGGAGTAACCGGGGCGGGCCGTCAACTGTGAGCAGGCTCGCTGGACTCTACCCCACCCTTGGGCCGTCAGCGCAGGTAATGCTGACTCCTGGTGGCCCCAATCAAACTGGGCAGAGCCATACTGCTCCATGGGACTTTCAAGGTTGTGACCCTTCGGGAGCAATTGCCAGACCCTGGTCTTGGGGTGCCTGGGTGGGTTTGCACGCCAGCCTTTTGGTTAGTTGTTGAGTGAGTAACATTTAGCCTTTGCAGGACCCCAGCCCGATGCACAGCAGTCTGGGAAGGGAAAGAAACACAGCCTTCCTCAGAACAGTGGGTCACAACCTTTCAGTCTAGTGACCCCTTTACACTATTAAAAAGTATTCTGTAATCCCCCCGACTCCCAAAATGCTTGTTCTTGAGAGTGAAATCTATCTGTATTTCAGATGAGGAATTAAAGCCGAAAATGTGAAAACATTTATGTTAATTCGATTTCCGTTAAATGGTGGGTCTCAAAGTTAGCAGTTAGAAACTACCAGCTGTTCCACAGGAGAAAGATGAGGCTTTCTGCTCCCGTAAAAAGTCTCGGAACCCTATGTAGGGTCGCTAAGAGTCGGAACCAACTCCATGGCACAGCCCTGCCCCCACCTAACACATTATAAAAGGACTTGCTGTATTTTCTCAAAGAATAGAAGAGAACTTGGTCAGGTTCACATTTCCTAGGGAGCCCTTGGACCTCCAGCCTATGGAAGACACAGGCTCCTCCCAGCTGCTTGTGCATTTCGGTCTCTTGCCGTATGCCACTTAGCTGCAGCGCACGTGAAAACAACAACAAGAAGCTGGCCTCTTAGTTGGAGAGAAGCAGTCTTTCCATAATGGTTTTAGTTAATGTTGGAGCTTTTGTGGCACAGTGAGTTAAGCGCTGGGCCGCTCACCTCAAGGTTGATGGTTCAAACCACCAGCTGTTCTGAGAGAGACAGATGAGGCTCTCTGCTTCCATGAAGATTTATGGCCTCAGATACCCTACAGGGTAGCTCTGCCCTATACCACACCATAAACCGGAATCAACTCGATGGCAGCAGGTTTGGTTTGGTTTTGGTACTGAAAATGTTGGTATTCTTCTTTGGTAGCGTACCCGACAAACTTCAATAAGTATAGAATATTTGAGTACATCTCTAATAAACAGAGATTGAATCGGTATTCTAAAAACTCCCCACCAAGAATAGCTCAAGACAACGTGGCTTTACTAGTAAATTCTATCAGATGTTTAAAGAAGAATGAACACGAATTCTTAAATTCTTCAAAACCCAAAAATATAGCATGTTAATAGACTCAAGGGAAAAACCCTTAAAACTCCTCAGAAACACTATGAAGGGTTGCTATGAGTTGGAACCAATTTGATGGCACGTAACAATTAACAACATGCAACCTCACAAAGGGCATTTATGAGACGTCAACAGCTAACGTCATCCACTTGCAATACAATTTTGCTAAAAGATAACTGAAAAACAACCGCAACAATACATCGAAAGGGAACTCTCAGAAGTTCGAGCCAGATTCGGATGAGGATGCGGAACAAGGGATATCATTGCTGACGTGGATCTTGGCTAAAAGCAGAGAATACCTGAAAGATGTTTCTCTGTGCTTTAGTGACTGTGTAAGGCTTTCTACTGTGTGGATCATGACAAGCTATGGACAACGCTGCAGGGAATGAGTATTACAGAAAGCTTAGTTGTACTCACGAGGAACCTGTCAATACACCAAGAGGCAGTCATTCAAACAGAACAAGGGGACACTGAATGGTTTAAAATCAGGAAAGGTGTGTGCCAGGGTTGCATTCTTTCACCATACTTATTCAATCTTTAGGCTGAGGAAATAATCCAAGAAGCTAAATTATATGAAGACAAACGTGGTATCAGGGTTAGAGGAGGACTTGTTAACAATCTCTGATATGCCGATGATACAACCTTGCTTGCTGAAAGCAAAGAGGACTGATGAAGATCAAAGGTCACAGCCTTCTGTTTGGGTTGCACCTCAACGTAAAGAAAACAAAAACCCTCACCACTGGACCAATAAATAACATCAAGATAAATGGAGAAAAGACTTTTCTTGAAGTTTGTCAAAGATTTCATTTTGCTTGGATCAACTGTCAACACTCAAGAAAGCAACAGTCAATAAATCAAGAAATCTAACGACGTATTGCATTAGGCAAATCTGCTGCACAAGACCTCTTTAAAACGTTCAAGAGCAAAGAAACAAATCTGTGTTGGAAGAATGCTCTTTAAGAAGCCAGGATTCCTGGTGAGACTTTCTATCTCATACTTTGGCTATCTCAGGAGGGACCAGTTGCTGGAGAAGGACATCATGCTTGGTAAAGTGGAGGATCAGCGCAAAAGAGAAAGACCCTCTAATGAGATGGATTGGCACAGTGATAGCAGCAATGGGGACAAAAGTAACAAAGACTGTGAGGATGGTCCATGCAGGACCGAGTAGTGTTTTGTTCAGTTGTGCAGAGCGTTGCTATGAGTCAGAACTGACTTTTTGGCACCTAAACAACAGCAACATCATCTTCAATGGTGAAAGATTGAAAGCTTTCTACTTAGATGAGGAGCAAGACAAGAACTTCCGTTCTTGCCCCTTCTATTTAATGTTGTACTGGAAGTTGTAGCCTTGGCTGTTAGGCATGAAAAGAAATAATAGGCATTCAACTTGGGAAGGAAGAGGTAAATCGATTTCTACTTACAGATAACATGTTCTTATATATCTTGTTGTTGTTAAGTGCCATCAAGTCATTTTTGACTCATAGCGACCCTGTATAGGGTTTCCAAGGAGCAGCTGGTGAGTTTAAACTGCTGACCTTGTGATTCAAACTGACCTTGGGGTCCAGTGCTTTATCCCACAGCACCACACCAGGACTCCGTTCCTATATACAGAAAATCCTAAAGAATCCACAAAATCTAGTAGAGCTAAATGAATTCAGCAAGTTTCAGGACACAGAATTAATACACAGAAGTCAATTGTATGAAGGGGCTACCAAACAGTTCATGGAAAAATTCCACTATCTTTCAATTCTATGAACTTTTTGAAGCCCCCTTGTATGCAATTGCTGTTGTTAAGTGCCTTCGAGCCAATTCCGGCTTACAGAGAACCTGTGTAGGGTTTCTGAGGCTGTAAATCTAAGGTTGTGGGAGCAGAAAGCCTCATCTTTCTCCCATGGAATGGTTCATGGGCTCGAACCACCAACCTGTGGTTCAAACTCTAATGCTTATCTCAGAGAGCCACTGCGCTACCTGGTATGTGCTAGTTAGGAGCAATTGGAAAACAAAATTAAGGAAACAATTTCATTTATAATAACATCCAAAAGGAAAAAAAACCCCCCAAAAAAACCCACTTCAAAATAAATTTAACCAAGAAGGTGCAAGATGTGCTATGAATACTGAAACTACAAAACATTGTTGAAAGACATGAAAGACCAACCATGAATAAAATGGAAAGACATCCCATGTTCATGGATTGGAAGTTTGAACATTGTTAAAATGGCCAGTACCATCAATGAAGAATGGATGGAGACATAAATGGTGGTCAGCTGGTTGTTTTAAGTACAAAAACCCTACAACAGCATTAACTAAAAAAAGCCTTCACCTAGATCTCACATTTTATATAAAACTGAACTCAAAAATGGATACAGTGGAATATTATTTGGCCATAAACAAGAGCAGAGTACTGTTACATGCTACACCATTGATGGACTTTGAAAACATGAGGCTACGTGAAAAGAGCCAGTTACGAAATCCCAGAAAGGCACTGGACTGTGAACCACAAGGTTGGTGGTTTGAAACCAACAGCAGCTCTGTGGTAGAAAGAGGAGGCTTTCTGCTCTGTCCGGAACCCTACACCAGGTCGCTATGAGTCAGACCCAACTCCCAGGCACTTACAACAACATGTAAAATATAAAAATATGAAACACTGAAAAGAAAGCATAGGAAAAAAGCTTCATAATCTGGGGAAAGGCAAAGGGCTCCTAACATGATACCAGAAGAAATTTGATAAATTGGACTCAATCAAAATGATCTCAAAAGGCACTCTTAAGAATTAAAAAAAAGAAAAAGAAAATTCTGAAAAACTTGGAGAAAATATTTGCAAATCACATACTGGACCGAGGGTTTGTATCCAGAACATGTGAAGAATTCTCAAAACTCAGAAAGAAAGAAAGAAAGGAAAGAAAGGAAAGAAAGAAAGAAAAGAAAGAAAGAAAGGAAGAAAGAAAGAAAGAAAGAAAAAAAAAAAAGAAAAGACAGTTAAAAAACAGGCAAATGACTTGACTTTTACCAAAGAACCTCTATGGAAGGCAAATAAGCAAACAAAAAGCTGCTTGGTGTTATCACCTATAAAGGAAATGTAAGAATGGCTAAAATAAAAAACAACAATCTGACAATAATAAGTGTTGACAAGGAAGTGGAACAACGGCAACTCTATTGCTAGAGGGAATGCAGCGTGGGAAAACTGGTGATTTTTAATGAAGTTAAACATACACTTACCGTGTGAATCAACAATCCCATTAGAAAATATACGTCCAAACACAAACCTACATACATTTATAGGTGACTATTTATAGCAGTTTGGTTCATAATTGCCCCAAACTGGAAACAACCCAAATGCCCCTCAACTGGTGGATGGATCAACAAATTGTAGTACAACAGAATACTACTAGGCAACAAAAATGAACAAACCATTGGTTCATATAAGAGGGCCAATGAACCAATCTCAAAGGCACTCTACTGAGGGAAAGAACCCAGAACCAAGAGGTTATACACTATAGGCTTCCATTTATATGAGATTCCTGAGAAGACAAAATTGGTGTGAAGGAGAACAGATGGGGGCTTGCCAGGGGTCATGAATGGGGAGGTCAGGACCACAAAGAAATACCATGAGGAGGGTTTTGGGTGACCATGGCGGTGGTCATGCAAATCTATACATGTTAAGACTTATAGAGCTGTACACCAAAAACAGTTTGATTTAAGTGATTAGAAAATAAATAAAGTAAACAGAGACAATAAGAGTTTTCAAAGCAGCCAAGTCCTTATTTTGGCCATGTGCGTGGTGGTAAGAACTGGGTGTAGCTGCCAAGGGGAACTTCCTCTTTCTGGATTCAGCCCAGGTTTTATATACAGCTGGGGCCGATCTAAGCCTTAGAGAGGCTGATAACGTCACTGATAGTAACACAAACTCAGCAGTTTCCACTAATGAGGGAGCTTCACTCAAATTCCAAATTCACATTAGCCCGTGACATAGGATTTATTCTTTTTTTTAATTCCAGGGAGAAACTGGAATTCAGATAGGCTGGCAGACATGTTGAGGGCCATACAGCCTGCCTGAGGCTGGTGGGACTCCAGCTCAGAGCCCACTGGACCACAACACACAGCCTGGTCCTCCAGCTGCCTCTTCATCACTGGTCCCAGTGGCTGCTGCTACTGGTCCACATGTTGACCTCATGTACCCCGGACAGGGGCCCCTGTACACTGGCTGCTGCAGGTCGACACGGTCAACCCAATGGTCCTCGGGGGTGGGGGGTCACCTACATACCATGGTGTGGGTCTACATGGTCCCCAGGTGGGAACCCCTACATACTGTGGCTAGTGTGGGTCTACATGGTCCCCGGGTGGGGTCCTCTACATACCGTGGCTGGTGATGAGCGGGATGTGTGGGCCAGGGAGTGCCTCGCGCTGTCCATCCCGCTGTGGATGAGATAGGCACCGGCGCTGGAGACGATGGGGGTCCCCGTGACATCCATGGCGATGCCCACCATGCCGTGGGCGGGGATTGCTGGCGGGGACGAGGCTGCCACGGTCACCTGGGTGCCGCCTGGGGCCTCGAAGTATGAGGCTGCACTGTTGGGGGCGTACATCTGGGGCTCGGGGTTGTAGGCGTAGGCCGTCCGTCTATCAGAGAGAGAGAGAGCGGTCGCCTTGGAGTCCTCTCCAGTCCAAGTGTTTTCTCTGAACCCCCCAGGACTCCAGGCAAACTCCATGGAGAAACTGGGGTCATGGGCCCTGGAACTCCCAGGCCACACAGCTTTCCAAACCCTGGTGGCTGGCCGCATTCTGGACCATCTACTGATGGGTGGATAAATGGGTTACGTAAGGGGCTCCTTTGTGGAGCGTGACACGTGTGTATCTTGATCGAGTGCTGGGAAATTTACACCTGGGCTAAAACTGCATAGAACTTGACCAGTGTCCCAGTGGCCATCGAGGGCCTTCCAGCTCATAGCCACCCCTTGTGTGTCAGAGAAGGACTGGGCTCCACAGGCTTCCCAGGGGCTCATTTTTGGGACGTAGATTGCCAGATCTTTCTGTGGAGGCACATCTGAGTGGCCTTGAACCTCTCACCTTTCAGTGAGCAGCCGAGTGCATTAGGGCACCCGTGGACATACCAAGGGGAAGAATCTGTTCGAACACAGCCCCAAACAGAGAGGTGGGCGAGTCGTAAAGGAAGGGGAGAGGGATGAGGAACACATACATGGCTCCATTTGTGTAGACGGCGTCTCCTCCCTCCACGTACTGCACCTGGGTCGGGTACACGTGCTGCACAGACTGGACCTGCAATAGCAGCACATGTCCTGGGTCATGGACTGCTGCTCCCACCTGCCATCGGTCAGTGCCCCTGCCTGTGATGGACTGAGCCAGGCCTAGGTGGTAGTTCCCTCGCCCACAGGCAGCCCCTTCTAGAGAGACACGAGGAGCCAGCACTGTGCTGTTGTTGGGCGCTGCAGAGTCCATTCTGACTCCTGGTGGCTCTGTGACAGACCAGGACTGCCCCATGAGGTCCTCTAGGCTGTCTTCTTTATGGAGGCAGATTGCCAGGGTTTTCTCCCGTGGAGCTGCTAGGTGAGTTTGAACTGCCAATCATTTGGTTAGAGCCAAGACAGTAAAGACTACACATTCCACATGAGCCCACGTGGTAACAGAACCAGACACAAGCCAGAGTGGTGCTGTGTGCATTGCTATCCACAGGCCCTTTCAGTTCCAGGAGGGAAGCTAGGTGTGGGTCCCCCATGTGCCCCCCGTGGGGGCAGGAAAGAGAATGACCACTGTGGTCTTCAGTGGGTTCAGCGGCCCATGGAGCAGCGGGCAAGATCCAACTGGTAGTGAAAGTCCAGGGCTCCCCACGACTGCCCACCCCACATGGCCTCCCAACTGGGCAAAGGGCCCATTGGCCAGACAGGAAGCCCAGGCTGCTCCTGCCGGCCAAGTGGTGTTCCTCCCCACGCCCCCCACCCCCATGCTTTCTTGACTCCTAGTGACCCTGTATAGGGTGTCTGGGCAGCAGCTGGTGGGTTTGAACAGCTGACCTTGTGGTAAGCAGTCCAGTACTGATCCAACAACACGGCACCAAGGGGCTGTTGGATCACACTCAGCCCACTGCTCACCAGTTTAGCAAATCAAGTTTTCTTGGCAAGTGGCCACACCCACTCATTATGCAGTATTGCTGGTATTTTCACGCTGCCCTGAGGCCCTGTCCCTGGCAAAGGGGGGTGTCCTCTGGATCAGAGTCGGGCAATGGAGGTTCAAGCAGAGGGGGTGTCCCGAGTGGGGTGATGGAGGAAGGAGGGCAAGGGGAAGAATCCTGTACCCTCCCTGCTGCCACTGTGGGAAAGTCAGTTCATTCCCCCCTGAGAATGACTAGGGACTCTGACCCTCAAGGTGGCAGGAAACCCAGCTCTCTCTGAGCAGAGAACAAAATTAAAAATAATTAATATCTTTATTTTTATTGTTGAAAGTACAAGGGGGCTTCAAAACGATTGTAGACAAATGGAATGAAAGGATAATGAAGTTTTTTTTCATGACTCTTTTGAAGTAAAACATACATAAAACAACAATTTCTATGCGTACAATGGAGTGACGTGGAAACATTCTTGGAATTGTGGGAGGATTCCCACTCTCCCTTTCTGAGTGGTCCTCCCCTGTGAATATAAACTCCCTGCCCCCAAGCTTCCTGTCTGAACTGCCGAGTGGCTGTTGTCCCTTTGACCCCGTAAAGAGAATTCTTAAAACAGCGCAATGCTCAAGGCAGACGGTCTTCGCTAGTGAAGCTAAACTGTTGTTTGGTTTGAAGAAGACTTCAGGGACTAGTTTTGGTTTAAGGATTATCTCAGGGAAATAGTTTCAAAATTCTGTTCCCTCCCCCTCCCCCCCGCCCTTTGACCAAGATTCTTCTAGAGAGCCTTTGATCAAAATGTTCAGGAATGGTGGTAGCTGGTACATCCAGTGCTGTTCTCATGGTAAAGGGGAAAAGTTGTTCTCGGAAGCAACTGGCCACACATTTCAGGCCTGACTCTCCTTCTGAGCAGAGGGAATCTGACTGGATGGCCTGTTTAGCCTAATTTTAGGGTGAGGGAATCAAAGGCCAAGGCACTGGTTTTGCTCAGGCCTCACCACGGTCGTCCCTGTTGGGGCTGCAGGGATGGGGCTGATGTGAGGACACCCAGCCATGGCTTATACCGGAAAAACACATAGTTCCCTGGAATAACAAGGATGCCAGGAGAAAGTTCTAGAAATGTTGGGTGGTGTCTTCAGAAAAGGAAATCAAAGGCTAAGGGGGGACAGGGGACACGTGGTCACCCAATGAGGCAGATACCAAGACAGAGAGCAGAAGCAGGCCTGACCTCCAAGCGTGGGACGTTTCTGGAGTCACACATTGGCCTATCACCCCTCTCCCCCCATCAATGATGTCACTGGGACAGATAAGTGCAGGAGTTAGAGTTAGGCCTGGTTCCTTGCTGGGTCTCTTCCCAAGCCTTTGTTTTCTATCAGTTTGCAAATCTCCCAATCTCCGCAGGCGTCCCTTGGAGAGAGACCCAATTTCTGGCCTCTGACATCTCTTTATGATACTTTGGGTTCCTTATGGGCAGGAGCTTGGATTAATTGAAATTTGGCCTGTGAAATGACTGCTGTTGTCACTAAGTCCCGTAGAGTCGACTCCGACTCACGGTGACTCTGTATAGGGTCTCTGAGGAGCGGCTGGTGGGTCGGAACTGATGACCTTGTGGTTGGTTCAGTGCTGATCCTATAATATCACACCAGGAGTCTTCTTGGATGGCAGGGGCCCGCAAACGCTGGCCCTTGGACCACACTGGGCCCACCCTGCTCACCAGTTTTACAAATAAAGTTTTATTGGCACAGAGCCACACCCACTCACGACGCAGCGTTGCTGGAGCTTTCTTGGTCTGGCCGCTGAATTGAGTGGTTGTGACGGAGACTGTCTGGCCCCCAGAGCCCAAAATATTTACTCTCTGTCTGTTCAGAGAAAATGTATGTGGAAGGAACACTGCAGTAGCTCACAACTGGTGTTACTATGTGGAAGCTTAGCTCAAGCCTTCCCATTTTGTGAGCCAACGACTTACTCACCTGAGATCAGTCTTGGCTCACAGCTGGTTTGTCCAGAAGCCCTTGGACTCAGCACTATCAGGCGTTTGCTTGTTTATCAGAATTTATGAATGAATGGAGGAGCAGCGGCCTTTTTGGCTTATTGCAAAACCTATCTGCAGTAAAAAGATTTTTTTTGTTTTATATTTTTAAATCGCATCCTAAAAAACCTTCTGGGCAAGAAACCGAAGATGCCAAACAAAAAGGAACAGCAACAGTAAAGAAGGATTGATCCTGCCTCAGAGATGACAGTGGATACGCACGGGACTGCTGACCACCAGGCTGGCAGTGCAAACCCACCAGTCGCTCTGTGAGAGGCGGCAGCTGTCTGCTCCTGTTACGGTTGACAACCGTGGAAACCTCCCTATACCGTGAGTTAGAAGCAGCTCAACGGCAGTGGCTCTGGTTTGGTTCAGAGACTATGAGGGGGCTTCCAAAAGTTCATGGGAAAGTGGGATGGACTTTTTCTGCAACATTTCTGAAGCCCCTGTATCTTTTGGATTGCGATGTACCGCTACCTATGTTCCAATAAGGAGACCTGGTGGTACAACAGTTAAGTGCTTGGCTGCTAACGGAAAGGTTGGTGGTTCGAACCCTCCCAGTGCCTCTGCGGGACAAAGGCCTGGCGATCTCCCGTAAAGATGGCAGCAAGAAGAGCAGACAGGAGACTCAGTGAGTTGATGTGAGTGGGGAGGATGGTCACATACATTCCACACTGCCGTCAGTGCCCCTGGACTGTCCATGTAGAAAGGGTGGCACTGGTGTGTGGTCTGCTGTGTATGTTATTAACAACAGCAACAAATAACTTAAAAACCCACAGCCCCATGGGCAGTGATAGACCATGGACTGCTGGAAGAATGAGCCAGTCCATCTTGGAAGAAGTACAGCTAGGACACTGTTGAGATGTAAGAAAGGCCAGACTTGGTCTCATGGACTGCCGACATATTACCAGGAGGGACCAGTCCCTGGAGAAGGACATCAAGCTTGGTAAAGTGGAGGGTCAGCGTAAAACAGGAAGACCCCCCAATGAGATGGGCTGACACAGTGGCAGCAGCAGTGGGCTCAAGCATGACCATGGTTGTGAGGCGGGCGCAGGACCGGGCAGGGTTTCGTTCTGTTGTGCATAGATAGGTTCACTATGAGTCGGAACAGACACAACTGCACCTAACAACAATGGTTAACTCAGTCATGTGGTCACTGAGACACATGTGATGGCCGAGCCCCGAGTCCTTACCTGCTGTGGTACCTGCTGCACCCTCGGAAGGGAGACAGGCTGCATCTGGGCCCCTTTGGGAGCAGAGCCCGTGGCCTGGACCAACACCCGCTGCAAGGGAAGGGACGAGAGGGACATTTAGACGTGTCACAAATTGTCTGTAAACACCAAGAAATCAGCAACCTACTGTATTGTTGCTTCGTCAAAGGGCTGACTCATCACACACACACACAAATACACACATGTACGTACACAAACATGCACACAGAGGCCAACACACTTACTCTCACAGACTCCCACACATGCACACACAGACTCCCACATATGCACACACAGACTCCCACATA